AGAGAGAGAGAGAGAGAGAGAGAGAGAGTAGAGGGAACGGAGAGAGCACTCGAGGTGTAAGAGTAATTAATTAAAGCAGAATGTACCTGCAGTTGCGTTTTAAAGCGGCTTCGGTATATCCCTCGTTTCTTTTTCTTTTTTTTTTCTTTTTTTTGTTAACCACCAGAATGAACGTCACCTTTTATTTTCCTCGTCGAGGTTTCAACCGGCTAAAACAAATCCGTGCTCTCTTTATTTCCCTTCCCTTCGATGCTTCTGTCCGATAATTCGAATGGAATCGAGATTTCAATATTCGATTACGTAGGTTCTCAAGTTCTAATTCACTGGTGATCGTTTTTACGAGATTTTCGTGTCTGGGCAAATAATGCGAATGTTTTTCATAAAATTCCCAGACGTGGAAACAATACGGACTTCGCGTGTACGAAATGTACAGAAAGTAATTTAAAAGAAAATAGTATCACTATCGAAACCAAATAGAATAAAATAGGAAAAATTAATCTCCCGAGTCGTTATAATTTTTTTTTTTCTTTCTTTAACTAGTGCTATTAGTGCCATTTTAGAAATCCATCTCCACGATCTAGATAATTTTTTTTTTTATTTTTTTCTTTCTTCATTGAAGTTTCATCGAATTCTGAGCACTCGAGAGTATTCATAAACACTTTGTGTAGAATTTTCAATAAAAGTTTCATTAGTTCTTTGAATGAAAATGAGAATCACCGTGAGTAATAAGTCATCGTACTTCATTTCGTGATTCATTACTTCTTCATCAACGACATATTCCACTTAAGCTTTCTTAGCAACTGATAAAAATTGTTACGATTCTTTCTTTCCGCAGACTTCAAATCGACAAGACTATTGTTGAAGCCATAGAAAAACACTGCAATATTCATATACCAGAAACGTGGTTCTTCAGCTTACAACGGACGGATTCACTGCCGGAAGATTATGAGATAGAACCACTGACCGAAGAAATTGACGCCACGAGTAATATTCATGTTTCTTCGTTACTCACTTCGTTTGCTTTAACCCATTTGCATCCAAGCGCGGAATAATCCGCGAGCCGCGACTGTCTGCTATCACCAAGCGCGGAATAATCCGCGAGCCGCGACTGTCTACTATCACCGAGCGCGGAATAATCCGCGAGCCTACGACTGCTTTTTTTACCAGTTGCGAAATATTCTTTGTATGCTTAAGTAAGTCAATTCGAAGAGAGAGTTTAAATACCATGTTTGTGATAATTTGGATGCCCGTTACTGCACATACGATCGACCGCGCGCGCGGTGATACGAGTCAGTCCTCAATTGAACGTCGCTGATGTTTCAACGCGGCAGCGACTTAAATAGAGCGATGATGCAAATGGGTTAAGAATGAAAAGAAATTGAAGGAACTGCAATTCCAACAAAAATCAAGTCAATATCAACTCGCTTTTTACAAACGTAGTAATAAACTTTCGCACCTCTAAATATAAAAAAACCCTATTCGTTTCTGTATCTTTTCCTTTCCTTCTCCAAGAAATATCACTTGAATGTCGGAGCTGTTTCCTTATTATATATGTTGCAAAGAATCCTTCAATTCCAAGAGTAAACTATATTAAACTGAAAAAAATATTCACTCCATTCGTAGAATCTGAAGAAAAATCCACGACTATCGATAAATCTTCGACTGTAGTAAAGATTTGCCCCAAGAGAAACGATGATCACCCTACTGTTGGTACGTACTATCTTTAATAATGAATATCGCTTTTCATTCTCTTCGTCTAAAGAATATCTTCACGCAGATCATTGCAATCGGATTGTAATGAAATACTTCACGTGAGAAATAATCCATCGAAATTTATCCATCAATATCAAGTAACCGTAGCTGTCAATTCTAATTATTATTTTTCTGTGAATCTTGCAGACAGTGTCTACCAATCTTTACTTATAATTTTCTGGCACAATTTCTGAATAACAACAATACTTGTGAACTTCCGATCGATCTATCGATGTTTCTTCGTTAATTTCTTTTCCCTCGTTTCAAGGATCCTCGGAGATGATCCGCGTCACTCACGTCTCGGATCCATCTTGCTTTTACGTTCAGATGGTGCAAAATCAGCAGAAGATATCAGAGCTTAGCAAGGGGCTAGCTACGTTTGCAAATACGACTGGAATAATACCAACGAATATCACTTTAAGTACGATATCATCTTCACTTCCGCCAAGTTTTCAACTTCTCCGTTTCCCGCGCCGAAAATTTTTTCTTAAATTCTATTTATACATTCATTTATTGGAAAGAACTCGGAGTTCCGTATACTCACCCTAATGGATCTTTAAGATGTTCTTCTTATTAGAAAAATTGATTATTTGTTTATTACAAAGTAAATGCAATGAAATCTCGTCTCATCGTTCGATATATTAGATAAAAAGTAAACAAGTTAGAATTCGCAGTGGTTGCGGAAATATGATAGTGTTGGGGATGAAATTTCATTCACAACAACAATTAAATAAATTAATAAACTGATCAATCTCTATTTTATGAGGCTGCCTGGATAATTGTTTTAAACGTAGTTTTCTGTATTAAAAAAAAAAAAAAAAAATACGTCTCTTTTCGCAGATTCGCTGTACATCGTGCAATACTCGAAAGACAAGAATTGGTACCGTGCACGTGTCATTGACAAGAAAACAGTTGCAAACGATGACGAAAGATACACTCTATTGTTCATTGATTATGGAATCACAGAGGAGAACGTATCTTTGATTAGAATAAGAAATATTATACCACAGTTTGCGATATTACCGGCAATGGCCCTTAAATGCACTCTATTTGAGATTGTTCCTAACAATGGTAAATGGCACTCCGATGCCACTAAAACTTTTAAGAAACTTGTTTGCACGTAAGTATGATCGAACACACATCAACTAAAGTTTGAATTTTGTTCTACTTTGCATTCTTCGTTATACCATTGTTTTCCAATATTTTATTACTACGTTAGGAATAAATAAACATACAGTACTATAATACATGTAAAAATACAACAATTTATTTTATTCTGTTTACATTGCCTTTTACTATTATATATTATACCTCATTTGTCTCCAAATTGGAAAATTAAATTGGCCTATTTTTTTCATTCTTTCAGAAATTCGATGGTATCGATGTGCATCAAAATGATAACCGGTGATACCTATTACGTCGATCTGTGCGTGATATCATCGAAAGATTCAGGCTTGATATCCGTGAAAGAAATGTTAACGTTTATGAAGTACGCGACTTCCATCTCACCGAATAAATTAATGGTAATTGCGACATGTTTGCAAATATTTCCATTTTAATCGGCACAATTTTATCATCGAATATTATTTTATTTTGAAGAAGATGAATCCTGATTCAACAAGGAGATATTACAAAGAGCAGTTAGAGTTGGAAACTTTCTCGGATGTGCAAGTTGTATTCGTCGAGTCTCCCAGTTCTATATATGTCCAACGAGTATGAAATCGATCGATACTTATCTATTATTTTATAATTAGTTAGTTTATTGATAATAATTATGTATTGTCCCTCACAATTGGCCAAAACCTTTTCCCCTTAGTAAATAGACAAGTAAAATATTATATTTATATTTATGTTATAGACGCATTCAAATAGATCATATTTTTACAAAATGATACACGATATGACGGACGATTACGAGAAGAATATATCTGCCACGGAATACATGATTCTCACGCCTTGTAAAGGTATATTACTTAAAATTGTTTCATTGGATAGTTCAACGACAATGTAAAATTATCGAAATGTAAGACAATGGAATTAAAAATTTACTGTATCATTAAGTATCATATAGCTCTAAAAGAAATTCTGAAAATACTTTTAAATTCTTGTAATACTTAAAATACTTTAAATTCTTTAAATTCTATACTCTTAAAATACTTTAAATTCTTAGCGTAGAAGCTACTTCGGAAACTATTTTTTATAAAATTTATAATATTATTATAACTATAATTTGTAATATTATAACTATATAATTTATTATAACTATATATTATTTATAACTATTTATATAAATTACTATTTATAATTTATTATAACTAACGTTATTATAATAACGTCGAATATTAAAATTAATCGATTAAACAGTTAATTATTTTTATACACAGATTCACCGTGTGCTGCCCGAGGAGTTAACGGATATTGGCACAGAGGACTCATACGCGAAGTTACAGAGAACACTGTACAGGTTTTCTACGTAGATGTGGGATACACGTTGATATTAAGTTACAATGAAATCAGGTCACTCCCGAAGAAATACATGACTTGCAGAACACAAGTAAATAATCATGCATATATATCCCTCATTCTAAAAACTAAAAATTCTTCTCCCAAAACAAAATATTGTCTATTCATTTCAGGCTATGAGGATTGCATTGAAAAATATAAAGCCACAGTCCAACGATGACCAATGGGAACCGGAAACTATAGAGTTCATAAAGAAATTTCTAATGGACATAAAGAATTTCAAAGTTGTTCCTTTTAATAAAGTTGGAGATACGTACAACGCTGTTATGTTTACTGCATATGATAAAATTAATGTCGCTGATTTACTAGTGCAAAAACGTTTAGCAGCGTACACTAATTCTAGGTATATGTTTGAAACGTGTATATTTTCATTCTTATATATATATATATATATATTTATAATATATATATATTTATAATATTTTCATCAGTATTATTATCTATAGAAGTCTAAAGTTAGTTTATCAAAAGTAGTCAGGAAAATATTGAATGTAAATACTAGACAAAACGAACATAATTAAATGGCAAAGGTAAATATATGTGTTTTATGTCTCGTTTTATGACACAGTTCCCACAATACAAGTGCAATTAACAAATCCGAAAATAAGAAGAACAAATCAAAAAAGAATGTTAGTCATGCAGAATTACGTGGTAAATTTTACGATGATCCGATGAAAATTAGCACGGAGAAAATAAATGAAGATCCTTTCAAAGTAAGCGTTCTGATACACCAAATGCAATCTCCAGACAGTATTTATGTTTCGGACTCCACGTGTGATCAAAATAAAGTCGAGCAAATGATGAAACAAATGCAAGAATTTTATGGCAAGTATCGGGCTGCAAAACGAGACGTTTGGACCAAAGATACTACCTGTGCAGTTTATTTAGCGAAGAATGAAATGTACTATCGTGGCCGAATCGTTGACATTAAGCCCGACGATAAAATAGTTGTATTTTTATACGACATAGGAATCGAGGAAACTGTATCAATGAATGATGTACAATCATTGTATCCTTTGTTCTCTAAAACATCAACATACGTTTTTAAGATAAAGCTCACGGGTATATTGCCCTGCGGAGGGTCCACTACGTGGCCATCATTATCTTGTGAAAAATTGCATGAAATTATAAATAACAATCAGACGTCTAAATTCTATATATCTAAATTGGTAAGCGTTAGTCGCAGACAAATAAAAAGAAATTGCGATATTTAATTGAGAAAAAAATAGTTTAAAATACTCACGTTGTAAATAACATTTTTTATTCAGTTTGCTTGACAAAAGTATTATTTCTAACGATTATCACGAATTACGAACATTGTATGCTATTAAATATTGAATATAAGATTAAATATTGAATATACACTATTATAAACTTGTTTATTACTTATTCTATTGTGATTGTCGTTTATTGTTATATATTTTTTTCTTTATTCTATAGGAAGATGAGAATATGGAAGACTCTGCGATACCGGTAGAATTATGGATCAAAGAAGTAAAAATGGACGGGCCATTAGCGCCAATAAGATATGAAATTAATTCTGTTAACAGAATGTTGATTGAGAAAGGAGTAGCTTTACCTGTAAAAGAGTATGTAATTGTTTTCAGCATTTTCTAAAATAGTAATATTCTGCCATCCAATTCTTTTCATTAAAAAAAATCGATTCATCGAAAAAAAATTTGCAGATATGTGAAAAAGAGAGATAAAATTTTAGCAATTGAATTGAAACGACAATTGGAGAAAAAGTTCGAAAGATTAACAAAATGCGATTCAAACATAAAATGGTTCGAAATTAAAGATCAGCCCGATAGTATTAAAACGAAAAATGATACGATATGGTTTCATTCAGACTCTGTTTCTAATAACCAGATTTCTGAGAAAATGGAAGAAATATTTGATAACATGCCAGCACTGCCAAAATTGTCAACTTGGCTACCAGTAGAGCCAATAGAGGAAGATACGTTTATCGCTATACCGACATATTTAGATCATTATGGCTTTCTTTATCTTCATTCCAAAACACATAGTATGTATATACTTCTTAAAATAATTCTATCAACACATTAATTGCAGATACAAAAAGTTTAAGAATAGATGAAAGGAAAATATTAAAGCTTAGGAGACAATCACAAAGTAAAAATATTCTACAATAGTAAAGTGTGGTGTTATCCACAATCAACCTATTAAAAGATTCTAAAGAATCTAATAAATTTGTCAGCAAACATATAATAATACAATCAATTCTCGCATACTTATTATATTCCTTCCTTTTCAGATGTTAAAATATTAAAATACATAGAAATGAAATTAGAAAAGTTATATACCAATTATCCAACTGAATATTGCGATACCACATGGACTGTGGGAAATCCATGTATTGTACAATATCATGCAAATAAAAAATGGTATCGAGGAAAGATTGTAACAGTTGAAGAAAACGATATAATTAATGTAAAAAATTTTCTGTCATTTGTTTAATTATGATGCATATATAATGCATTACGAAACATATTTATTACAGGTGGAATTTGTAGACTACGGAAACGTAGAAGAATGCACAATTGGAGATTTAAAAAAAAAAATTATCTTGGAAGATATACCAATTCAATGCACAAAATGTTTAATCGACGGTTTAAATCCAGTAAATAGCTTAAATAATTTCTATCTTTCAGGATGTTCCGCAGAACATGTAATCGGAGACATCACTTGACAATAGATTCTGTCATGAAAACAATAGAAAAATTCATATAGACACATGTATGTCGTATTCGGCTTACCAAGAGATGTCCCCGATGCTATCAGACCACCCTATCGGGTACCGTACATTATCTATCAATCAGTATGTTTTAAAATATTCTCCAATAGGGAACTGAAAGTGGACTATGGGTATTGGAAGATTTAGATAGAATACATGGTCTTCTCATTGAACACGAATGTGAAGTTACGATTATAAATAGAACTGAAAATTATCTCGTTGTAAGTATTCTTACAAAAAACAAACTTTATTTAATAACGAGATAAATATAATTAACAATGCAATGTAATTAAATTTTATTTTTATTTATTTATTTATTTATTTATTTATTTATTTATTTATTTATGTCTTTTTAATTACATACACCTATAATATTTCAGATTTCTTTGACGATATTGCCAAACAAATACTGCGAAAAGAAAACTGATCTGATTGAATTTCTTATCAATGAATGTAAAATGAACATTAAACCTAATATTGAAACTATCACAAGTGAAAATAGTATACCTACAAATAGTACGCCAGATGTAGTTATAGAAAACTCAAGATCATTTTGTTCAGACGATGAAATGATAACAGATCCAATTATTAGTGGAAATTCTGTGTTACTTTCAGATACTAATGCTGTACAAGAAGCAAATAAGAATATTGCTGATGTTGAAAATTTATCGTGGTATAAATTACAAAATAAAATAAGTACTTCGACTCCTATTGTTGCTTCTGAAGAAGATCTTTCAATGAATTATAAACTTCTCTATATACCAAAAGACATAGAATATATTGAGTTGGAAATGTGTTGTAGTATTAGTTCTACTAAGTTTTATGCTCAATTAAAAGAAAATAACCATTCTACGGTATGTTGTGAAACTACTGCTATATAGTCAATTTTTTTACTTCATTTTACTTCAATATTTACAACATAATTAAATTTTTCTTTCATTTTAGGTTTTAAATACCTATTATACACAGTATAAACTTTTAATGAATGACTTACAAAATAATGCGGATAAACAACCATTGATTACAAATCTTACTGTTAGTAAGTATTATTCAATTACAAATAGTAATTATTCATAATAAGAAACTCAAAATGATTGTTGAAGAATAAAATATCACAAATAATTGTATGTAGCTTCATCTTTATGTATCTTATAAACTGGAACAAATTTAAATCTATTGGTAGATACTCCATGTTGCGCAAAATTCACCGATGATCTTTGGTACCGATGTCTCATAATAGAATCTGAACCTATTGTAAATTCAAATAATATTGAAATTAAACTACTTTATGTCGATTACGGTAACGATGAATATAGAAAAGTAAATTCCCAAAAGTAAGTCATATTTAATTAGTTTATACATTAATATATTATTGCGTCTTAACATAAAAACAATTCTTTTATTTATACAAAAGATGTGAATTATACACTTTAAAAAAAGAATGGTTGGATATACCTGCTATTGCAACAAAGTGTAAATTATGGAACATAAAAGTTGGTTCTACAGCAAATCCTAGTGAATTACTCTTTCAATTAGCAAAAATGTACAATAAGCGTGTTATAGCTAAGATTAAAGTAAGTATACCATTTGTACAATGTTAATAGATCATAAATGATAAAATTAATCATTTTAGGAAACTGATGAAGAATTCACGAGCATTGAATTGTATGAAGATGAAAAATGTGGAAAACTCTTATATAATACTCTAATCGAAGAAGGTTTGTTTGAAATTAGACAAAAAGAAAAATGACGATCTACATTATCCTCAAATAATAATACATGTTTATTTTTATGTTTACATTTAATAAGTAAGCTAAAATTACTTAACTGCAGAATGGAAGTTTATGTTTTTGCATTTATTCTTGTGATAATTTCCTTTTTTATTGTTGTAATATAAAAACTTACCGACAACTAAGTTTTTTTTTAAATGTTTATTATTATAAAAAAAAATTTATTATAATTATAGAAGTACATTAACGTTGAGCACTTTTAGCAATTTGTTCTTTAAGTAACAAAATACTTTGCCTTTGTTCAGGTGGTAACATAGCGATTTGTTCATCAGATAACTGTAATACTTGCATTATTAAAGCCGCCTAAAATAAAATTAATAATTATTTTTACATTTTGTTACCTATATAACTAAGAGTAATGTAAGATTTCACACATTTTTATGTAAAATTGTCTCATACTTGTGTGCAATCTTTTTTTTTTAATACCTTCTCTTGATCGGATGCTCCGCTTGGTATATTTCCTGCTGGAGACATGCCTGCCATAAGCCTGGACGTTGCAGATGTCGTTGACGTAGTCAATGCTGTCACAGAAGTTGCTACGCTAGCTGTAGCGACATTCGAAGATTGACCAGCAGGTGCTGCAACAGGTCTTGGCACCACTGGTGGTGCAACTGGCACTGGCGCTAAAAAATAAAATTATCAAAAAATAAAGATAAAATTATAAAGTAATTAATTTTTTTTACTTTAGTGTTATTATAAGAATTTTTTTTGTTATTATAAGAAGTAAGAAACTTACGATTAGCTTTTGTAATCCTCGGATCAATAGGCATTCTTTGATCTCTAGGATCTCTTGGATCTCTACCAAATCTGTCTGTTCTTGGATCACGACAAAAACTGAAAAAAATCACATACTTTTAGAATGTTTTAAATATTTCGATTTTAAATTATCTAAGATAATTGTAGAACCTCTCAACTCCTTCAACAGGAAGTGTGCTGTAAAAAAGAACATATTCTTAAAATACATTAATTTAAAAAAATTGTTTAACATGACAAAAGTACTAACTTGTCCGAGATATTGAATGTATTAAGTGCTCTAGGATCTGTATTAGCAGATACAGCTGGAGATGCACTAACAGGTGTTGATTGTACTTGTGGTCCTCTTAAATCTTGATCCATTCTAGCTAAACGTGGATCCATTTGTCTATCCAATGTACGTAAATCAACATCTTGACCTATCATAAAATTTTATTATTTTAACATTAAAGAATGCATAAATTCGAATAAATAAAATTAAAAGTTCATTGTTTTCACCAGCAAATATTGGTGCTGGAGGATTAGTAACTGCTGCTGGACGGGTAGGAGCCCATGGTTCTTCAATTCGGGGTGCAACTGGATGCACAGCTGGTTTATCCGAAGGTGTTAATACACCTGGGATTGGATTTGCTTTATGTAACATATTAACTGCTGTATGAGGATCCACTATTCTCATTACTACCTGAGCTTGTAGCAAGGCATATGCCAGTTGAGGATTCTGAAGCAACATTTGACGTGCCTCATTTGGATTATTTTGTACACAGAGTTTCATTTGCTTCATAAGTTCGAACATTTGCTCAGGTGGCAAAGATGCAACAGCTTTACTTATAGCTTCTGGAGCTTTATCTGACTGTACTGCCTCTCCATATGGATTCTCAGTGTTCTGCCCTTGTAGGAGACTTTGCATTTCCATTCGACTCTTTTCTGTACATGCATTATCAACCCTTAATGTTCTTCCACCAATTTCATAACCATTTAGATTTCTCATAGCACTAAGAGCTGTCTCTTGATCTTTATATTCACAAAAGCCATATCCTTTTGGCTTACCTGTCTCCCGGTCAAATACTAATCTAATTGAATTAAAAATTTTAGAAGGTAAAATAATAATCTATAGATCATTATTGTCATTAATAATAAAATAATAATTTTATAAATTTCAATGATATTTAAGTGCAAAATAAACTTACTTAAACGAAAGTACTGGTCCAACTTCACTAAAAATATCCTTTAAATTCTCTTCTGTGGCTTCGTACGGGATATTCCCGACTGTTCAAAAACATCATATATTTCAAGGTTATGCGCTATCATTATTGAAAAAAAATAATCTAGTATTAAACAATTATTCTTACCGAAAACACTCCGCATAGACTTGTCCATGAGCGACTGATCAGAAATAGTTGAATTACTCATTTTTGCAATTTATTCGCTTTTGTTTATTATTCGAAATTTGAACACAGTACCAGTTACTCTCCACTAGAAAAATACAAACGAAATCCAATTCACATTGATGTATGGTGTACTAACCATATCACTTTTTATCTTACTTCATGCATTATTATTTTTATTACATTAGCATTTAAATAAAGTCGAATTACATTAAGATTACTCTATTATAAATCATATAAATTATTTAATATCTCCTGAATGTTAACATCGATCAATTGATCTCCAAATTTATAAAAATAAAAAATCCAAAATTAAAAAAATAACATATTTCTTGTCATTTCAATAGTTTTACTTCTTTTTATTATATATTCATTTTATTTCATATAAAAATACATTTTCAATATTACAATCAATCATGCATTAATTCTGAACTCGGTACATGTTTATTTCAGTATATTTCTTATTTATCATAGATAAAAATAACTCGCATATATATATATATATATCCTTTAATTATGAATTAAATGTTTTTACTTAATGGTGGAATAATCTCAAATTAGTATGAATTAATATCATTTTGTGTTCATCGCAAGCTTGTATCACTGCTTCATCATTTACAGAACCAGAAGGACTTGCGATATATTTGACGCCACTCTATAATTAAACAATTATTTTTTAAAATTCAAAAAAGAAATATGTTACAATACAATAGAATAAATAATTAAACTATATACCAATCTAGCTCTATCTACATTATCTCTGAATGGAAAGAAAGCATCACTACTCAAAGCAACATTATCTGCTTGACTTATCCATTTTATTTTATCATCTTCTGAAAGTTTCTGTGGAACTTCCTCATATATTGCTGTCCAAGTAGCTTCATCCATATCTTTTCCAATGGATCCGTTTACATAATTGTCAATAGCGTTCGAAATTTCTGCTCTTTTTACATTTTTCTTAAACTTCATACCAATGACATTGGGATGTTGTCGAAGCCACCTAAAAAATATCTATCATAACACTGATAGGTCTATTATTACGATATATTTAATAAATATTAAAATATAATATACCAATTATCAGCTTTATCACCAGCAAGTCTTGTACAATGAATTCTTGATTGCTGTCCTGCACCAATTCCAATCACCTGCCCATCTTTTGCATAACAAACTGAATTACTTTGTGTGTACTTTAAAGCAATAGTCGCTACGATTAAATCTCTCATAGCACTGTCAGAAAGAGTTGTCAAATTTTTGGTTACTATATTGGAAAATGTATTTTTATCGATAACTGCATCATTACGTTTTTGTTCCAAAGTTAAACCGAACAAAATTCTACGTTCCATCTGAGATGGTACATAATTTGGATCAATTTGAAGAACACAATATGCACCATTTTTTTTCTTCTTCAAAATTTTAAGTGCTTCCTCTGAATATCCGGGCGCGATAATACCATCAGAAACTTCTCTAAAATATTTTATAAACATTAAATATTTAAAAACATTAAAAATATATATTATAAATATAATTTTTTAACTGCAATTTTTTATCTAATTATATCATTACCTAGATATCATTTTAGCAGTAACGTCATCACATGCATCAGATAATGCTATAAAATCTCCAAAACTTGACATTCTATCTGCTCCTCGTGCACGTGCATAAGCAGTAGCTAATGGTGTAAGTTGATCCAATAAATCATCTACTTGACATAGTTTTGCTTGTATGGTGTCTAGTGGTACACCAATTGCAGCACCAGCTGGACTAACATGTTTAAAAGATGTTGCGGCTGGCAAATTTAGAGCTGCTTCTAACTCCTTTACTAGTTGATAACCATTTAATGCGTCACAAAGATTAATAAAACCTGGAGAACCGTTTATCACCGTTAGTGGTAATTTATCTAGAGCAGTAAAAATTTGTGCTGGTTTTTGATGTGGATTCATTCCATATCTTAGTGTCAACTGAGAAACGCCACTACTATATTGTTTGCGGAAATAATCGGAAATAGCATTATCATATTCCGCTGTATGAGTGAATGCTTTAAGCGCTAATATTTGTCTAAAAGTGAAAAAAGATAAAATTGCATATGAAAGTTAAAAAATTACATATTTTCTCTAATATTTATTTTAATAAAATAAATACCTAGTTTCCAAAGAGGTATCTTTATTAATAGATGATTCTAATTCTTTTCCAATTTTTTCATAGTCATTAGGATCACAGACAACTGTTACTCTATTGTGATTTTTAGCAGCAGCTCGTAGCAAAGTTACTCCACCAATATCTATATTTTCTACCGCATCTTCAATTGTCACATCTAATTTTGCAACTGTGTTTACAAACGGATATAAATTGCATACCACAACTTGAATGAGCTGATAATTTTGTTTACGAAGATCTTGCTGATCAAGCTCTGTGAGTCTAGCTAATATACCTACAAAAAAAAAATTTTCTATATAATATATATAATATAAGTAGAATAAAAAGATATATTTAAATATATCAATCTTTTTACCAGCATGAACAGCAGGATGAAGGGTTTTAACTCTTCCATTAAGCATTTCAGGTGCACCAGTGATATTAGATACATCTTTCACTGGAAGACCTGCATCTCTCAAAGATTTTGCTGTTCCACCAGATGCAATTAAAGATAAACCTAGTTCATGCAATTTTCTAGCAAATGGCAAAAGGTTTGTTTTATCAGAGACACTTAACAACGCTGAAAAATGACAGAGTAATATAATATAATTTTATGACAAAAATGTATTAATTATTTTAGAAAAAGTAATAAATAGATAATGAATATAAAAATATTAATATTCTCACAATATATAACATAATAAAATATACGTAATTACAATAACACAATAATAATGAACAATGAATTAACACATTGAATACACGTGTAAAATTCACACAATTATGAGCTATAATATTTAACTCTAAAATGTTATGTTATGTCAATGATAATCATCTTATTTTAATCATTTATAATATTTATGGATATTTATTATATAATGCCATACAGGTTGTATGCACACAATTAAGTTAACCAATATTTAAATCAATTAAAAATATTAATAAATTTCAATCAGGAAAATCTATGTCTGAAAAAGCATGTATATTTTCTTAATATTAATTTTTTCTCAATAACTGCAAATGCAACTTACCTAAATTTCCGGCAGTCATATTATTTTTTTTTTAAATGTTACCTCTAAAGGAAGTAGATATATACGAAAATAGTTAAATTACTCAATATTTGCCGTTATTGTAAGACTACTGAAGAGATTCAACAAGTGTGCAACACTAAAGTAATCTTCAATCCCAATATATAGTCTATATTGCATACGTATGAACAGTGTTTCATATATATACGTGACAAAATGTGCTCACAATATGTATATGAAACACATCGAATGCTTTTAAAATATCTTACAATTCGCGGGGGTCTTAAAAAGGTTAAAAGTTATCATATTGGAATTAGATAAGATATCTTACAATAAACTACAAATATTAACTTGTAAAATAAATACAATTTGTAAAATATATTTTCATCGTTGAAATTTTTTAATGCGCTTCTTGCGTTATTTTAAGACATTAAAATTATAATAAATTGCATTCTATATGAGGTACTCTATATTATGAAAAATATAATTATACAAAAATAACAGTAATTAAATGTACAGTATCTGAATAATTTCTTGCAAGATTAAGTAAAGTTCATTCATATCTTATACAATGGAAAATTTATCAGAATGAAAATCAAAAATGATGCATTTTCAATCATAAATATTTTAAAACCTATTATATAAATATTAAAAAATGAATTGAATTGATAGAATTTAGAGGAATTGTGAAACTAATTTTGTAAAAATAGTGAACAGTGAAAGTTTCATTTGGCATAACAAACATCATCCAAGTAGAATAATAATTTTTAAATTACTTTTCATGTAGTCTATATTGATGTACTTTATTATTATTGAATTAATAACATACAGGAGAAGGAACATTTTTTATTAAAAAAACCACTTTAATTTATTTCATAAAATTTATTATACACATTTTTCAAATTTTTAATTCAATAAATTAATCACTGTTAATAATAATATTGTCCACTATTTCAGACAAGTTTGTCATTTTTTAGATTTAAAATATAGTTGTAGTCAAAATGACGTAATGTTAATTAATCAAAATGCATTAATATAATAAGGCAACTGAATCTAATTTACCATTAATATCATATTGATCAATGTTATATTTAAGAAAAAAGAAAAAAAATAATGTGTGACAATAAACATAAAGTTAACAGGCATATTTCTGTTAAAGAGCATATTATAGAATAAAAAATTATATTATTTAAAATCATTTCATGCTAATAGTTGCTGGAAATATACTGTGATTATAGCCTGTCTTACAAAGTTCATATAGTTTTCTATTTATAAAGAACTAACTACTCATAAAAGAAAAAGAAATAACATAAAAGATCTGTTAAAATTATCATTATCTAAATATTTCAAACAAAATTTTCACAATAACTGCATAACTCTTTTAAGCATTTCATAAACATTTTATATATTTGCAATTTATAAGAATAGTAAGATTTTGAATATCTAAAATTAAAAGATAGACCAATGTAGAATAAAAATTAAATAGAGATATATTCTTGAAAAGTATTGCATTAAAAACAACTGAATCTTAACATTATCACATTTGTGTTTTCTTTTTGCGATTATTGCAACTAACTTTTTTAAAATATAGTCATCCTTAAATCCTTTATCGTAAGAACTATTTTTAGATATTATTTATTATTATCAAAAATGAAAACATGCAAAGACTTTCTTTTTGTTTTAATTATAAATGATATAAACTTGGCACAAATGTAACTTCAAGAAAATTGGACATATCAAATGTATGAGATATGATAATTATATATATTTGTACTTATTTTACTCATCATTTTTGTAAACTTTTATTAATATAAAAGTGAATATTATCAAAAATATTTTTATACATAAATACATAAAAAAAAGAACATTGTATAAGACAGTGATTTTAATGCAGCACTTGACATAAGAAAATTATATTTTTCTACATGTAATATAATTCTATATTTCTATAGCGATATAAAAATGAATAAAATTGTTTTTAAAATATTATTAGAACATTTAAATGTTTATATTTTTTACAGAGGAACAACATTAGTGTTTTAGTCCTGAGGAGCAACATAAATTATTCGAGAAAATATTTTATTAAATATTCTTATTAGTAAATATGTAATTCGATTATTCCTTCTTATACTATTGTAAAGAAAGAAAATCCTCTATTAAAAAACAAAATTTACAATACTGATTTTTTATCATAGAAAACAAATTTTTCCTAAGTTCTGATTACTACAGCATCAGAGTTGGAAAAAAGTTACTGTATCTGATTTACAATTTTCATCAAACTACATAAAATAGATCAATTTTTAATAATTTTTTACCACCTATTCGTCTTTTTCGTAAAAATCTAACAATGGCAACTTTCTTCTTTACCACTTTCATACTAGCTACGACATATCTACTTTTTTGGCGAATTTAATAAATCTATACGTTCCTTTTCTTCTTCCGTAAGAAATATTTTGGTAATTACTATATCACCTGTACTGTACGTTTGGCAAGCCACGCTACTTCCAGTATTACGATCTGATCGTGGACTTTTATTTTTATCTTGACATGGGCATATACATTTTGTTAGAGATACATCTGCACTGTTTGAGGAAAGCTGATCAGTTGCAGAACCGGTAACAGCTGAAAGAATAGCTTCTAATTTCTCAATTTTTTCAAATCTATCCATTCTTCCATCAGAAAGAATTTCATCCACCATTTGCATTGATTCTGTAAGGCTTGGAGTATCAGAATTTCTTGGTGACAATATACTACCTACAAAAATAGATATTTAAGTATATTGCATATATTTAATTATATTAATTAAGACAATATACTACCTACAAAAGTAGATATTTAAGTATATTACATATATTTAATTATATTAATTCAAAATAAAATTATTAATATTATTAAATAATATGAATTATTAGTCAAAAGATATACCAGAATGTGAATTTTCAGAAGTGTAACTTTCCATACTATGATATTCTGAGTCTTCAATCTTATCTTCATAATCATCGTCAGTACTTTCTCCTTTGTCTTGACCCATGTTTTCAAGTTTTTCTAATTTTCTTGCAACTTTGTAACTACCTTTTAGTTTCTCTTTTTCATCTTCGGTAAGATCAAGATAACGCAGAAGACGAATTTCACGATTACTTAAAACAATATTTTTGATAGTTGCATCTTCCATTCTTTTTTTCAAATCCGCAACTTCTGTTTCTACTTTTCGTTGCTTTTTTCGTGCTTTTATTTCTATAGGTTTAATATGCAATTGAATTTGCTCCTGACACAGTTCATTAAAAAGACCTTGTACTTCTGGTTTTATGAGTCTAATAATAATATAAACAAATAAAACAATTATAATTAACAATGAACATCAAAAATATAATTATCATCAACATAAGTTAATCATAAATCTAAATATTATTTTTGTTTATTTATTTGTTAAATTAATTATAAATGCTTCTAATAAGGAATATTATATAATCATTCTCCTTTATTAAATAAATTGTGATGAATGAATATTGCATTAAATATGCACAAGACAAATCAATTAATAACTAAAAAATAATTAAATATCATACCTAGACATGCAGACATATATTTGTGCCAAACTCAGAACATCATTGCTAGCATAAATGAGCATGTCTCGTGTTAATGGACGTCTACACCAATATCTTTGATTATTACGATAGATATTTTTCAATTGTTCTTTTAATGGATTACTTGGAGCACCATAATGATCACATAGTGTATTCAAATTAACGTTTTTAACTTTATATACAGGTTTACCAGTGTCTTGAAATTGCAATACAGCATGAGCTGCCTAAAAATATAGATAGAATTTATACTTTAAGTATCATATATTTTTGTTACTTTGTACTCTAATATTCATATGAATCAAATACCTGTGTATCAAAAACATTATTTAACATAATATTAAATTGTCTATATAAATTGACACTGTCATTTCTACAGTCATGAATTACCTAAAATAATGCATATAATTAAATAATTAAAATAAAACTATAAAAATATAAATAAATTTATGAAGTATTATAAAATCTATATATATTTAATTTAGTTTACCAATTTTAAATATTGTTCCTTACTTTAATAACATCTTTATGTTCTAGAATTTTTTGAAGACCTCCAGCTTGTACAAGATTAGGACAAGCAAATAAATCAAATATATATGCTTGACCAGACATAGTTCCAATCTGTACAAGTGTCAATTGTCCTTTAACTCCTAAATTTATTCCTTCGCAGTCAAATGAAATAACAATTTTACCATCAGGAGGAGGTTTACGAGGATTTATTATATCTTCTACAATTTGAAGGCTTTCTCTGGGATTTACTATTATTCTAGTTTGTTGCAATATCTTTAGTTTCCAAGCATCTCCCATTTGCATGGTTTGTAAACTTCTATCCTTTTCTGTATTATCTGCTAAAGTTTTCATTACAAGTGTATTTATTCTTTGTTTCAAAGTTTGTTGTTGTAAGCTTACTGGAGGAGAACTAGTATTACTGTCAATCGATGGGGAATGAGAGTTTTGTACAGAATTAATTTGAGTTGTTTGAGCATTGCTATTAGTACATTCTGAATTAATTGTTTGTTGAAATGCCTGAGTATTACTTGGTTGAATAACCTGATTTAAATTTGTTTGACTTGTATTACTTGGTTGAATAACTTGATTTAGATTTATTTGATTCGTATTACTTGGTTGAATAACCTGATTTAGAGTTGTTTGACTTGTAATACTTGGTTGAATAACCTGATTTGTTTGACTTGTATTACTTGGTTGAATAACCTGATTTACATTTATTTGACTTGTAATGCTATTTTGATTTCGTGCAGAATTTGGAAACCTTGTTTTCGCTTTCCTTTCTGTAGCAGATTTTGGTCTTCCAATTAATGTTACTAAATTGCTTTGAACATGAAACGCATCTGGGAACATTTTAACAAATGTACACAAATCTTGTGGCGTTTTAAATATTGAGGTCCAATTTTCATAAAAAAATTTATCATTAACTATACTGAACATTTGATCTACAAGAATTGGACCCTTTTGTTCAATACACTCACAAAGAAAGTCTAATAACTTTGCAGTAATTTCTGGGTCTATAGGTATATCAGGTTCTAACTCTACAAAAGGTTCTGCTTTCATGCCTTCATATTGCTTTAACATTACATTATCTTCAGTAACTACAAAAGCATCTGGATATTTTAAAAGGAAGTCTCTGAACTCCTTATAATGTTGACCAGAAATATGTCTAACTTCTGGAGAAGCTTGGGACCGGTGTCCCAGAAGACTTTTTATTGGTACTTCTGTACCAATTCCATACTGCATTAATTTATTTGTAAAATATTCTACAGCTTCTCGGGCGTAATCGCGTTTACCTCCTAATTTACATCCATTTTCTTCTGCTACAATTTGTTGAAATGTATTGACTGATACATAATCACCATTAATAATAAAAAGCATTGGATATTGAGCTAAAAACTTTTTAAGGCCACTTTGTGATCCACCAGCTATTTGGCGCATTTCTTTTGTAAATCCTTTAGCTCCGAACTGGCAGCTTAAGTCATGTAATGTCCGTGGACCACCTTTATCCACAAGAAGCTCAAAAAAAAATAAAAGTGTCATATTTCGTACAGTCTCATATTCTGAGCTATCCATTTTTTTATTTTATTTGTTGGTTTCAGAGAATATATTTTTTATTAATTATAATATCCGCAGAATAATGTAATGATATATCCTAAACATAATAATTTACATAATTATATTTCATTGATTTCAAAAATGTATTATAATATAAATGTTATTTCGTACTCAAAATATTAATTATATTTATTCTATCTCAATTGGTTATAATATAATTTTTTAATAATAGATAAAATCAATAATAGTAAAATAATGTATATTTACCATCATTATCACTATCAAATACCAAGAATATGAGCACAAAAATAAATTATTGCCATTTTTACTATGTATTTTACAAGTCTCTCATTGGCAAGACTTTTATATAAAAAGAGACGTTTGTTTTAAGATCAATTGAATGCCAATGATTAAATAATTGCACAGCCACCATAACAAGGCAGATAAATAGATCTAAAAACCCATTAATACACATAATTAAACATTAAATATTTGCAAATACAGTCAAATATGAGCTATAATATTTGTCTAAATCTTTGATAATTATTAAATTACATTATATTTTTTTTATACAAACCTTATATTATTAATAACTAGATTTCCTTTAGATATAATTTTTTCTTCATTAATATAGTATATGTTGTATAAAATATGGACATTATAAAATTTTTCGTTTTTTCCTCGTAAATCAATTGGAATTATCAATAATAATTTGCTTGGAAAGACTATGGATTACAATGTGACCTATTAAATATAAACATTATGTTAACCTTTTAAACATAAACATTACTTATAATACACACGTACATTTATTCCACGATCAAGGATTATAGCGACAGACGTTGAACATTGAATAATAAAATATCTCTATATATCAATAATTCTTCAACAAACCAGAAAGAAACAATTATGTAAAATGTGACATAAATACCAAAGAAGCTGCCCATCTATAACGTGTATGAATATTTATGAATTTCTATTTTCTTTAGTAAATTGGGCGATTAAACGTACACTTCACAATTTATTAACGTATCACGTACAAGACATATGTCCGTATATTAATTCACTATACTACCGAATGGTATTGTGTAACTTGACATTGAACAGTATGATAATTACCTATGACAATTAAAATTTCGCTGAACTTCAAATATTAGACAATGAATCTCCGATATCTAAATTCTAAGATATCACAGGTCAAACAACTCTGACATAGATTTAAAATACCACGCCACACTGATGATCTCGATATGTATTCCTGTAATATTTCTCAAGCATCCTCGGACTCGTCCTTTCCTCAACTAACAATTACAGTTGTTAATTTATCAGAAACTTTGTTTGTTTTGTACCTTGCTTAATATTATGTGATAAAATTTTAATCATTTGCCAATGTAGTGCACCGTGCAATATATCCTATACATATTGATATGCACATATCCAATTAACCCTCACCTGATAAAACAGACACAAGAGGGAGCATTGAAAGAAGAAAATTTTTTTTTCAAAAGATATGAAATGTTTATTTAATACTCATTTAAATTATAAGTGTATTTATATATAATATCATTTTATTTCTATTTATTAATTGGAATGTAATTACACATTGTACAAAATAAAATATCAATTCTTTGCAAAGAGGAACATACTTCAAAAGTATATATGAAGTATTTATATAAGTGAATTTTTAAAATATATGTGTATAATTATATATGATACAATTATTAATTATATTAATATATTTTAAATAATAAAAACATAGCATGCATCAAAACTGTTACGCTGAAAACAAAATTCAAAAATTAGTAAATCTAGTAATATTATATTTAATTAAAAACATTAAGAAGGTAATTAACTGATTCATATTAATTTTCTTTTATTTTTTTATTTTTTTTTATTACAAAAAATTAAAAATTAAAAAGATACTATCCACATTTTATTCACTAGATTTTAATGTGTTATATTGGCTATACTTGTACAGTTCATTTCGAATCATTTATTACACAATTTGTTTGAAATAAGTTTGCAGTGAAATAAGAGTATTTTAAATAAAAGCTATTGAAATAATGATATAGATTAAAAATAAGTCACAGCAAAGTGTTTTATGAACACTGTGATAATTTATTAACTAAATATATCAAAATTAATAAACAAACGAACGTGTACGAATTAAAGTTGTTAATTTAGATTGAAATATGTCTTGCGGTGATGACGATGAATTTGAACCGCGAATTACACCAAAACCCGCACCTAAACTTGATGTAAGCATTCTTATAAAATATAAAATAATGCATATCTAATAAAGAAAAATAGAATTTTTACAAATAATATTATTAATAAATTTAAAGTAATAATAAAATATTTATTTTTTCTACATTTTTTTGTAAACATTTTGTTAGAAGCAACAGAAATTTAATAGAAAATGTGTTATATGCACTAAAAAATATATGTTAGTAAATATTTAATGATAATATAACTTAATAAGAAGAATAATCTAATAATTTTAATTTTATAGTGCTTTACAGTACCATCTGTACCTGAAGTTTCTTTAATATTTGATAAATCTTACAAGAGTCCAGAACATACACATTTACCATTTGCAGAATCTAAAAGTTTAACAAGTAAAAATAATGGTTCTTTTCCATTAAACCTTAATGGATCATATGCAGCTTGGAAAGAACAGAATTATTTAAGGAAATCATCATCTTCTAAAGTTAATGATTATACAACTTCTTTGAAAGAACAATCTAATCAAAATTACAGTGCACATTCATATTTGACAAAAGATAACACTGCAAATATTTTAAAAGAATCCAAACGAAAGAGTTATACTTTAACAGAAGATATTTATAATTCTTCACAATGCAAACAAAAAACAAATAAAGGAAACAATGAATCTCCTCATAAACATAATTATGAAGGATGTGAAAGCAATGCAATGTATACAGATAAAAACACAAATGTAAAGAGCCATTGCAGCAATAAAATAAGACATATAGATTCTTTGTCTGCTACGCCACATATTATCAAACCTTGCATAAATGCTGACAATTACATTGTTAAAGAAAATGAATGTTCTCCATTATTATATGAAAGACAGTTAGCAACTCATAGTATTAATCAACAAAAAGGATCATATAATGATTCAATTCCTGACTCAAGTGTACAAAACTTATCTATTAATCCAAATACATTGCAACGAAATGATCTTCAATTCCCATATTACTTAAGACAACAGTACCCTTATTTGAATATGAATGCATATTCATTTCCTCAACTCCATCCTTATCCTACTAATAATACAGATAATCAAGAAACATTAAAGAACTTATTACAAATTATAAATAATCAAAATGAACAAATCAAGTCTTTACAGACACAAGTAGATAGATTATTAAAAATACAAGAAGAAACTCTAAAAGAAAGAAGGTGTTCTTGTTTCTTTCAGTCACAAGAACGAAATACAAATTCTAATGATATTTTGGATACTTCTAATTACATTACTGTGCCAGAAAATACAAGAAATATGAGAGAATCTCCTACAGATAAAAGAAAAGAAAATTGTAACAAAAGTGAAAATGTAAATCAAAATGAATTGATATTAACAGATGCACAATCAAAAAAAGCATTTATGGGACAAAAAGTATCAATTGGTGTAATGACAAGTTTTGAATTAACTGTACAAAATAATCCTTTTACAGTAGATATCGATAATTATGAAAAGAAAGATACTCGACAAAAACAAGAAAATTTTAAAATGTGTAATAGTGTTGGTCTTCATGATACTAATGAGTCATTAAGAAGATATAAAAATTCCTTTACTCGAATACCTAGTGCACAATTAGAAAATATAGTTGAAGATTCAGAAAGTTATATGTCATCCAGTCAACAACAAAGTAGTAATTTAAATGCAACTACTTCTACAAGGGATTTAGAGAAACAAGCTTATGTAGATATTCGAAAAGAAACAGATACTCATACATCTAAATCTTCAAAATTATGTAAAGATGTGATAACAAATAAAACTGAAGATAGAATAAAGAAACATTTAAAAAACTGTACAGAGAAAATGAGAAATTATGAAAATACAAAAACACCAATGATTCAAAGAACTGCTGAATATAGTGTTCCAAGAAGTAGAAAAATTGAAGCAAATACTATTACTAATGTAAATCAGGATAAGAAAGTAAATATACGAGATAATGATCCTGTAAAAATAAATAATGTAAATAATTCTTGTTATTACAATGATTGTCAACAAGAAGGATTTAAACAAAATTCAAATTGCATTGAAGACAGTCTGATCTTAAATGGTGATGATTTGAAAATAAATGAAAGACTACCTAGTCCAGAGCCAAGTCTTCATCTTGAAATGCAGGAGTACTCCAGTGATGATGATAGTGAAAATGTTAAACGAAGTTCAAACTTGGGCTGGACACTTTACAATGATGTTCTTGAACAAGTAAATCAATTATTACAAAAATCTGGTATTATAGATGAACAACAACAAAAACAAGCAAAAGTAAATCAAAATGAACGAGATGAGCCTGAAAGAGCAGCACTAGATCCTGTAAAGGCAGCTACATTAGAACAACTTAAAAAACTTGGAATTAGTTTAAGTGAAAATTCAGACGCTAAAGAATTGAACAGCAGTAACAAGTAAGTTTCATATTTATGAAAAATCTGCAT